AAATTCATATACGTGAAGATCGTTGTGTATCTTCTTTCTTTTCTGAATTTTGAGCCTATGATCTTCTCTCTGGAAAGAAATAGTTCAAAGTTTTTCATGATTAGTTTGGCTCTTTAATGAAAAATAAATAGGCTTCAGAGTGTGAAGGGAAAATGTCTTTTCAGATTGCTGCTGATGAAAAACCTGCTTTTTAATGGGTGCTTTACAGTACTGATAAGTTCCCATGTAATTGAGCTGTGAAATTTGGAAATATGTGAAGTTTGTTGTACCATGAACCACATAGTCATCTTGTAACATTTTCAAACTGATGTAACTCCATTTTTTTTGTACAAATGCTATTTTGTTAAGTAAATGCCCATTTAAACTTGTACACAAAGGTTATAATTATAGCAGGAAATTGTTGTGGACAGAGGAGGTTAAATCTGCTTGTCCTCTCATACCTTCGGAATGATTTCTTGGAAATCTAGTCCAGATTTTTGACTGAGGTTTGCTATTTGACTCTTCTGCAGTTTCAAATAACAACTTTCCAATATTTTGGTTCTGACAGAGATTCATGTGAAGGAGGGGAGGCCTGGAGTCAGGAGGTAATGGAATCAGCCCTTTCCAGTGATTTTGCAAGAAATCCAAGGGACAGTGCATTGTGAGGACATCACTTAACATTATAGGACTTGTAGGATACATAAAAGCTCAAGGTTAAAGGAATGTTCTAAATCAGCACTGTTCTACAGAACTATAACGCCAAGTCTAACAAGTAAACTGTAGATGTTAAGTATGTATTTCATAGCCACATAAAAGAAGAAAAAGAAACAAATCACATTGATTTGAATGAAACATTTAAATATATTTAAAATAGAATTGTACCATGCAGCCAACATACAATTATTTAAAAGATTACACTCTCTTTTTAAAAAATCTTTATCAAGGTACTGTGATTTACAGTGCTGCTAATGATGGTTTCATGCTTACATCATCCTAACACCACACCTGCCATCAAAGTACCCACTTTGCTCCACCAAGTTCCCAAAGGCCCCTCCTGTTCAACACCCTGCTCTGCTCTGTGGACAAACTCTCCAGTTCTGCTGCCTTTGACCATTTGTTGATCTAAGTCTGTGTATCTTTAACTCTGCATATGAGAGAGATCACTGTATCTGTCCCTTTCCTTCTGACACAGTTCACTCAGCGTGCTATCTCATAATCCCATCCATGTAGTAGCAAATTGCATGATTTTGTCTGTTCTCTCAGCTCCATAGTATTCCATATATATATATATACCAGAATTTCTTTTTTTTCCCCTTTATTTTATTTTATTTTTTTTTTACAGTTGTAGATTTACAATTCTTTGTGCTTTGGTTTCAATTATACAATGATCAGATACCCATCCCTCCACCAGTGCCCATTTTCCACCACCATGGATAATATCCCTCCCACCCCCATCCCCCCATCCCCCCTGTCTCTGTGGCAGGGCAATCCCCTGTGTTCTCTCTCTCCTTTTGGGTGTTGTGGTCTGCAAAAGAGGCATTGAGTGGCAAACATGTTCAGTCCATAGTCTACTTTCGACATGCATCTCCCCTCGTGGGAGGATCCTCCAAACATCCTTTATTTGGTGCTCCCTTCTCTATCTGAACTGCCCTTTCCTCTAGGATACCCGGCTGGCCTCTAAGTTATGGAGTAATCCTCCTGGTGCTGATCTCAGCTATTCTTGGGTATTAATCTCATACTTTGTTACTTTATATCCCCCAGATGAATGCAATCTTTCTATGTCTATCCCTCTCTTTCTGACTCATTTCACTTAGCATGATACTTTCCATATTGTACCACTTTATACCAGAATTTCTTGATGCATTCATTTGCAGTTGGGAGTTTGGGTTGTTTCCTTATCTTGACTAAGATAAGCACTGCTGTGAACTATCCCTTTGGATTGATGTTTTTGTGCTTCGAGGGTAGATGCCAAGGAGTCTTCATGTTGCTGGGTCATGTCTTTGAAATCGGGTGTGAAGTTTGTACTTAGAACGCACCTCAAATACAACCAGTAAAATATTGGTTTGAATATGAAGTGTTCAATAATCATATGTGGCTAAAGGTTGTCATGTTTGCCTGAATAGGGCCAGTGATTATTTGATAGGCAATATTTAGCTTCTCCTTTCCAATAATTCCCTTTACTGTCACCCACAAGAACCATCTCTCGCCAGCTCCCCTCCCCCACCTCATTTGATTTTTCCAAATTCTCCGAGCCAGAGAACTGTTACACCACTCTTGGGTCTTGAATTTAATTTTTTTTAGTGGGGGGGGGCGAAAAGGGGTAGGATGTGGAGCAGGGGTGGCATTCATCGTTAACTGAAGCAGCACTTTTCTTTGGGGGGAGCAAAGAAAAAATACTGTTTTTCTAAGTCAATTCACCAATACTTATCAAATATCCCAAGTGCCAGAGAGCTGTACTAGTGGTACTATAGCCCATAGCTAACACTTCGTTCACCGCTAAATTCGTGCAACATGATTACTGTTCACATTACTTTGCAGATCTATTCATTTTGTTTTAAAATTTATTCCTCTAGTTTTCAACGTGAAAAACACGTTGTCTTTGTAAAATCGTTTTTAAGAAAAGATTAAAAAAAACTGAATTAATTGGTCAGCACGTGGAGGTGGTAATTTATCTTTCACCAAGTTGACCAACTTTTTGCTCTAAGCAAAGGTGTCGTCACGTTGCCATCTCCATGAAACATAAATTCCGTGTGAATTTAAAACAACAGTACAACTCATCTTCCAATTTAGGTTAGCTGAGTTTAGCGCCAGGGATCAGGGAGACGCGGCTGCCAAAAGATCTGCACTTGCATCAAGTCGGTTGGGGACTTGAGTACTCTGCAACCTCCCACCCCGCTGAGACCCCGCTGAGCCTGCCCAGATGTTGCTCAACCCCGAGCAGTCCCTGGGAGCGAAGGCTGCGGGAGAGGGCACGTAGCGAGGATTTCCGGCCGCCTGCCTGGGCTCCCTAAACAGATGGAGCCTCTTCAGGTGGCCACGAGGCTCCCGGGCCTCCAGCAGGAGCCAGTGGGACCCCGGTTGGCGGGGGGTTTGGGGGTGGGGGTGGTCGACAACCAGGGCCCAACACCTGCCTCTCTGCGGCCCAGCTAGGAACCTCGCGCCGCAGCTGCAGACCCGGCCGCCCGGCCATGGGGCTCTAATCTCCAGCTCACACCTGCCTTAGGGGGGCAGGGGAGCGCTCCCCAGGTGGCCGGGGCCCGGGAGGATGAAAGGAAGCTGTTCAAAGGCGGGCGCTGGGCGCGCGGCGGGGGACGCGCTGTGGTCTGGGGCGTGGGAGGACCGGGCGGCCGGGGCCGCCGGCCCGAAGGATGAAGGGCACCAGCGAGCCCGGAGATTTCCCTTCACTTTCATGCTGCTCCCCGAAGGGCGCTGAGCCAGAGACTGCAGTAGCTTTCCACTCCGCCCGGCCACTTCTACCCGATTCGGCCCCGGCGGCCCCGCTCCCGCGCGGCACCTGGTGCAGGCACTGCGGGGTCGAAGCCTCCCGGAGAACCGTTCCAGCCGCCCGGGCCGCTCCCACCCAGCTCCCCCGGTCCCCGGGGGCTGCCAGCCGGCCCGGGATTGGATTTCCTCCTCCCCGGGCTTCCCCATCTTGGGCGGGAGGAGGAGTCAGAACCCCTCCCTCTTCGCCCTCCTCCCACAGCCTCCCTGAATTTTTAATCTAATCTTTTATTGAAAGTCAACTGAGCAGCCGGATCCCCGGGCGGGCTCTCGCCTCGGGATGTTTTCAAACAGTGCCCCCCCCCCCCCCCGCCAAGTCCCTACCCTCTCGGAAGGGGAACTGGTTTTCCCCATCATGAAGGTCCAGGGAGCAAGGAGTGGGGAAGGAGGGGGGGGTCGCATCGGAACTCGCGGCCAAAGTCCAGGAGCTCCAAGGGCTTGGGGTAGGGGAGGGGGAGGCGACCCCTGCCGAACAGATGAATCCCAAATGTTTAATATTGAATCCAAGAGCGTCAACTTGGAGATACTCGTATCACACCAAGGGTCGAGTTCTTAAGGAGATCCCGGGAAAGAAGCTTTTGTGTCCCGTTTTGAGAGATGCGGGGGTCTGGTGGGGGCGGGGGGGGGGCTGGTGCGGCAGGTAACTAACTGCCCAGTGACTCTGGAGAGGGTGGGTATCTTGGGACGCGCGGTGACCACTAACGACACGCGCTAAGGGGGACCCCGGGGAGGAGTCCCGGCCGAGAAGCGATCCCACGCCCCTTCCCAAGTTGCTGGCACGGGACCGCAGCCCCCTGATGCCTGGCGCACGTCCCTCCCGGGCTGGGCGGGAGTACTGTTCTCTAAGATCGCCAAGTGAGCCTCGGCCCCGCGCCGAGCCGTGGGAGCCGGAGGTTCCCAGCCTTTCGCCCCTCTCCTCCAGCCCTCCGCCGACGACGCCCCCAGATCGCGCCGCGGGCTCGCCCTTCCTGAAAGTAGGCGAGGCGGCCCAGCAGCCGGGGGGCCGGGGCGCGGAAGGAGGGCGGGGCCAAGCGGCGCGGCCCAGGAGGAGCGCGTCTGCCCAGGCCCCGCCCCCCGGGTGCGCGCGGCGGTGGTGGCGGCGGCCCAGCCTCGCCGGGAGAGACAGGTATCGCTTAGGCGCCATGTTGTGAGCGGAAGTGGGGGGAGCGCGCGGCCGCTGCTGTTCGGCTGGGAGCGGGCGCGGGAACCGGCAGGGGAGGGGGGGGGGGGGCGGAGCTGTATAGTCCCGGCGGCGGAAGGAGGCGAGGAAGAAAGGGGCGAGCCCCGGTGCCTGGCAGCGGCGCGAGGCTCTCGCTCGACGCGCGCGCGGGCGTCTCCAGCCGGGCGCGCGGGCTTCCAGGGTCGGTGTCGGCGCCGAGCCCTCAACCCCGGGCAGCCGCCGCCACCGCCGCTGCCACCGCCGCTGCCGCCGCTGCTGCTGCTCGTGCGCCTGCTGCCGCCGCCGCTCCTTGCTACTGCCACTGCCGCTGCCGTGGGGCTCGGGCGGCGACGGAGCGGGGCCGGCCGCGAGCGGGCGGGGAGGGAGGAGGCGGTAAAGGCGGCGGGCCGGGGGGGAAGATGCCGCTGGCACAGCTGGCGGACCCGTGGCAGAAGATGGCTGTGGAGAGCCCGTCCGACAGCACGGAGGTGAGTGCCGCGGGGCGCCCGGGGCCGGCGCGCCCCCTCCCCGGCCGCGGACACTCCGCGGGGGCAGTTGGGGTGGCCCCGGGGCGGCGGGGCGAGGCGGGGGGTGCGCGCTCCCCTGCCCTGGCTCCCCGCGCCCTCCGCTCTCGCTCGGGGGCTGCTGGGGGGGTGGCGGCGCGCGTGGGCTCCGGAGCGGGCGCCGGGGCTCGGGTTGTGGCGAAGGACCCGATTTGGGAGCAACTTTGCGTGGGGTGGGGGGTTGAGGGGGTGGGCGAGCGGGAGGCGACGCGGGGGGGGCGGCGAGGACTTGGGAAGTTTGACCCTGCCCGCCCGGGGGTTTCCCTGGGACCCCCGGAGACCTGGAGGGTGGTGGGAGGAGGACGGGGGGGTGCCGTGGATCGGGTCGACTGGGGAGCAGGGAATTCTCGAGTCCGGCCCGGGGAGGGAGTTGCTGCGGGAAGACTGTCGCGCGCGTGGGGGGTGCCGCACCAACCGGCCCGGGGCTGGAGATGTCTGGGGGACTTGGGGGACTTCGGGGGTTGCGGGGACGACACCGAGAAGGAAAAAAAAATCTGCCTTCTTCCCCCCCACCTCCCGCCACCCCAACCTGCCGCAGCGGTTTCTGCAAAGGAAAAAGTGGAAGCCTGAGGTCCGTCCGCCCGCAGCACCCCCCCCCCCCCCACCCCTCCTCCCCGCAGTTTCTGAGGTCGCTAAGCTTGAGGACCCGGTCCCTGCGAGTGTAACTTGAGTTTCCTGCCCGCCGAGGTGAGAGAGAGAGTGATAGGCAGGGAGATCGGCGGGCGCCCGAAAAAAAAAAAAACACTTTCTGCTGGTCCGCACCCGGCTCCAGCCGAGCGCCCCCCACTCAGTCGGCCCTAACGTGGCCACAGGGGATTCCCACGGACGCGGCGGAGCCCCGAGCGCTTCTGTCCCGGCACCGACTCCCGGGTCTGCGAAAATGATCGAGACAAGACCCGGTCCCGGGCATCCACGCTCCGCTCTGCTCCCGGAGTAGAAAATCAATTCCTGATGGTGGCGCGTCTGTGCTTCTTCCTTCTTGACTTTTTTTTTTTTTTTTTTGCTGGTCTTCTCTCCCCGCTGCGGACTTTGGGAGATTGCAGGATGCTCGGCTATGTGTGTAATAGTTAGTGAGTGACCCCATTTCTGGAAAGCATGACTGAACCGCGGGGGTGGAACGGGGCAGGCTCGGATGAGTGGTGGACTTGGCGGCGGCCACTGCCCCGCCGGCCTCCGCAGTGTGAGAGGTGGATTGGGTTACTGGCTACGTCAGTGGGACGAGGCTCAGTTCGATCTGAGATGCAGGACACTTGCATTCTTGGGTATAAAGGAGGGGGAGGGGGATCAGTTCAAAGCACTTTGCAATTTCTTCCCCCCCCCAGTCACCTCTGCTGCTGTAGCACAATGTTCACTTGCTTTCCCTAACGCCAGCAAAGTTGTGATCGTGCCTACGATTGGTGCTGTAGTCTTTTGCCATTCGGATCATTTCTTTAAAACTAAACACTGTGGAAAGGATTGGTAGGTTTGCTCAAAAAAAAATTTTTTTTCAGGAAATCGTGGTGTTTTTTTAAGACTGGCAGAATTAGGAGATTTTTCATTGAAAAATTGTTAGGCAGTCTAATACTACACATCTATAGGAAAGTCAAATTTAGAATTGTTAATTACCCTGGAGTGGATTTTTAAAAATGAAACTATGCCAGAGGACTATTTTTCTCTTCACAAAAATTTTTACGTTAAGTAATATAGCTGAAAGATTAATGAAATCTGCTCGCAAAGTGTTGGCCTTGTGGAAAGAAATTGGATTTGTTTTGAGCTTGATTTTTTTTTTTTCAGATGCAAACGTTAACATTTGCAACTCAGAATCAGTCCACATAGAGTTTTGGCATGAATCAATGTGTTAAAAATTAATTTAAATTCCACCTTATCCTTTTTCTATATAGCATACATTTGGCTAAAGGAGACACAAACCTGATATTTATTTAGCACTTACTATATGCCAGATACTGTGCTACATGCTACTTCATGTTGTCCCTCTTATAAACCAACAGGGTAGGGTTATGGTCCCCATTGTCACATATTCAAGTATTACAGAATCTCAGAAAAAAATCCCAGAATTTATGGGCACAAAGATTATAAATAGTAAATGGCAGAGCCATGATTCAAAGCCTAGAGGATAATTCGTGTGTTTTGCTTTGTCCTAGGGTAGATGATTCCAATCCTTTGTGCAAAAATTCAGGGTACAAATAAGTAAGTCAGTAGTTAGAGATCATGTATTTTTCAGAAACAATGAGGATATTACGAGGTCTCATTTGTTAAAGCTTAGTTATTTCAGTAGCTGTCATGTTTTCCAGAACCTGGCAGCAAGGATTCCACAGTTTGCCATTTTCAAAGAATTTTTTGATAGTCTGACACAACGTATGTCAAACGGAAGCAGCATTGCCCAAATTTATTAAAACTAGATTTTAACAAATTGCCTTTAGCTATTTTGTTGCCTTTGGTAGTTCAGCTGTTTAAGTAGATTTCTTCTGTACAAATTTAGAAAAATTGCATTAAAAAGGGAAGAGTGGGTAATTTACATTCAGAAGTTTAATACCGGGCTAACCATTATGACTATTCTGCCTTCTCCCCAGTAAGTTCTTATCAGAGAGTAGTTGTATTTTACCACAGTAAAATCTTTCTGAAAAAGATAAGAGTTTTTGAAGTAGTCATTTGAGTAAATGCATTGCAAAATTTAATGGGCTAAAAGATTCCAGAGTTGATCTGTATAGGAATTTGCTTCTGTGGTGTGGTTCCCAGTAGAATGTAAACTCTTGAAAGCAGAGACTTTGTTTTCTCTGTATCCTCAGCACTTAACACTGTAGCTGGCATATACAGTTCATGGACCCAGTTGATGGGTCTGAATGAATTATGAATGTCAGGAATGGGGTGACTATCAGTATTATCTGTTTTAATTTTAACCCAACACTGAAATGTGAACAATCTTAAGACACCTAAGAATTTCACTCTAAGTTGCTGCTTTAAGTCCTCAGATTGGTGTCATGGTGCTCAAAACAAAAATTCCTGCACTGCGCTGAAACGTGGGTCATAATATGATAGGTCGAATGTTTAACACGGTGACTTGACGCTGGCAATGCACTGCAATTTGTGTTAATTAAACCACATTCAAGTGTGCACCACTGGTGGTGCACGCTAGTGTCAACGTTTTGCAGAAGCAAGCTTAGGATAATAAAGGAAGAACTCTGTAAACAAAGCTAAGGTTGGTACAAGATTAAAAACAGCATGCTAGTCCGTTTCTGAACATTTGACAGTTTAGGAGATGGTTATTGATGAAATATGCCTGATTTTGTTCTACAAATTCCACTCCACTAGTGTCAGGAACATTTACTGGCTCATATGCCTAGCCTAAAGTAAGACTATTCCATCTTAGTAGCGTGTAAAGGATTGTAAATCTGGATACAAAGAAATTTCAAAAATAATAAAATCTGTTACTTTGTCTTTAAAGAAATGTGTTCTATTAAAAGGCCTCCTTGAATTCAAGTACCAATAATGTATGAAAAATAATAACTGTAAATCTTTTCTGTATGAGAAATAAGATTCTTGTATTGGAGAACAACATCAATGACTGTGCAGCCGTTTTTAACCTTAAAGATACTGGGTTCTAGAATATTTCTATGATATTGTTATATTTCATACAAAAGGGAAAATTCTATTAAAGTATGATAATTGATTTTGAAGAAATGTTTTATTAAGCTTCTTCTCGTTTTCCTGTTTCACTTTTACCCATCTTTCAGGTTTTTTTCTTTCCCCCAAGTGAAGATCTGAGGAGAGGACAGGTATTGTTACGTGTCAACTGTCAAGTACTCGTGACACAATACTGGACACTTCATTGTTTTCAGTGCTTATGATACAGAATGTCAGTTTTGTTAAACAAAAATTTAGGAATTTCTACTTTGTTTTGGCAACCTGAGAGTTGATCCAAAAAATGTGTGCAGCTTCATTTATGTTCACTTAAATTTTAAGATAAAGAGAAAGGAATGTAGGGAGCCTTTCTCTTTAGTACGTTTGTGTAAATCACATCTTTTATGTACATTTTCATATAGAAGGGATGCTAGGATTGGGGTGTGCATTCTTCTGAAAGTCTATGACATTTAGCAAATTGTAGAATGATTAAAAGTAGTGCAGATCATTTATCAGAAGTGTGAATTGGAGAATTGTTCTAAAGATTTTTTTAAAATTTGTCATCCACTAACAAAAATATACCACTGTGTTCGTTGACAAGATTTACTCTAGAGTTATGTGCTCAGGGACTTGCCATCTGCAAGCTGTGAATGATGGGTGACATCAAGTGGTCCATCTCGCCCAGTGCAGATTGAATGCTTTAGACCCAGTGGATCAAATTACATTGTAAGGTATCTTGGTAGTCTCTTGCTCGTGTATAAGTATGGTTAATACTTGGATGTTCATGTGTTTTTTAGTTCTTTTTTTTAAATAGGGGCCACTAAAACAACTTTTACAGCCTTGGACTGCAGTTGAGAAAATAAACACATCACACATTCCAGTTCACATAAAAGATAAAGCAAGCAACTGTGTTTTAGTACTTGGTACTAGATATCTTCCCCCCCGCCCACCCCATCATTGTATTTTTAGAATTAACAGTTTACTATATCATCAGTCAGGATCAAATAGAATTGCTCATATATTCTGGTTTATTGATTTAATACCAAATAGTATAAAGCAAAGATAAAACAACTATTAAAAACAAAGATAAAATAACAATTTGGGACAGGATATGGCTCAAGCGGTAGAGCACTGCCTAGCGTGTGTGAGACCGTGTGTTTGAGCCCCACTGTTGCCTGTCCCTGTCCTGGGCAGCACTATAAGAGTGGCCCCTATGAAGAAATTAATTTTTAGCTCAAAAGTAATTTTAAAAAGTATAAATCTTAGCTGTTAAATAAAATGTGCTAGCAAAACACACATATATATTT